CTCTTCCTCCTTCTGCTTCTCCTCCTCCTGCTCCTCCTCTTTCCGGTTCTGGCCGCGCAGACTGAACAAGTAACACAACTGCGAATGCGAACACTGAGATCAAAGCGTACTGGCCATCTGCTTCGCATGCTGGAAACAGGAAGTGCGCGTGTACCTTTTTACTGGCTGTGCTGTAAACTGCGGTGTCATCGGCATCCAGTTCAGCCGCCTTTCTAGGCCCAGACGCCCTCCGATCTGATTTTTCCGATCCGCGTCCCAAGAACTCCAGACTCCTTCCCTGGGGGCAATTTTGTGTCCCGGTTCCATTTTCAAAGGTCCTGGGGCCCAGTCACGGGCCTCAAAGGCAGACCTCTGGGAAAAACGCCTCAGGACCCAACATGATCGATCAACGAACCCGGAAAGGAACATAGGAATGTGAGGCATGGCAACGTTTTCGATACCCCTGATTGGGCGACGGGCAATTGCAATGCTGAGTATATCGATCTTGCTGTACCGTGCCAAGGGCTGTGCTGTGTTGCGCCGTGCTGGATGGCGATGTGCCATGCCGCGCCATCCCGCGATTGTGCTCTGTAGCGGTGTGGATCGAGTCCTCCCTTGCATCCGAGCCCTGACCGAACTGATCTGGATCATAAGCTCGAGCTGCCTGAGCACATAGTAGCTGCCCCAGAGCTAGTTCAAGTGGAAGCGTGCTGGACGTTCAATCAACTCGCCCTCGAAATCCGCATCAGCACCGAAGAGGAACGACGCGACACGGGGCACAGGCTCACGGACGCGCCACAGGATGTGCCAGGGGCGCAATATGGGGATGATGAGGATGATGATGAGAAGGAGGAGGAGGAGGAGGAAGAAGAGTAGGAGGAGGAGGAGGAGGAGAAGGAGGAGCGTGTCAGGGGATGTGTCAGGGGACGTGCCCTGGACGTGTCAGGGACCTGCCACGGGACGCGCCGAGGCCCCTGCCGTGGGGCGGCCAGAGGACGTCATGCCAAGGGACGCTGCAACGGGGCGCGCGCGCCACGGCACGGGCAGGGGGGAACGCCCGGGGACGATCCGGGAAACGCGACAGAGGACGAGCCCAAGGGAACGCGCCACGCCGAGTGGCGTGCAAGGGGAACGTGCCAGGGGCACGTCACGCCAGAACGTCGCTCGGGACGCGCCGGGGGGACGCGCCAGGGGACGTCCCACGGACGGGCGGGGTTGGGCTGCGATGCGCCCCACTGCGACAAGTGCTTTGCTCGAGACATCCTCAACAACTCCTCATGTTAGATATCCGCCTGGGCGACCTGGACACGGGAAAACAAGCGTATCGCTCGAGACATGCTCAACACATCCCAATTCATCAAACATCCGCCTGGGCGACCTGGACACGTGAAGCCAAGCGTCTCGCTCGAGACATTCCCAACACCTCCTCATGCTAGACATCTGCTTGGGCAGCCCGGACGCGTGAAAACAAGCGGTTCGCTCGAGACATCCTGCCCCAATCCTCATGTTAGACATCCGCCTGGGCGACTGGACACGTGAAAGCAAGCGTTTCGCTCAATACATCCTCAACACATCCTCATGCTAATTAGACATCCGCCTGGGCGACCTGGACACGTGAAAACAAGCGGTTTGCTCGAGACATTCTGCCCTCATCTTCATGTAGACAGCCGCCTGGGCGACCTGGGCACGTGAAAACAAGTGTTGCGCTTGAGACGTTCTCACCACCTCATCATGCTAGAAATCCGCCGGGGCGACCTAGACACGTGAAAGCAAACGTTTCGCTCGACACATCCTCAACACATCTTCATGTTAGACATCCGCCTGGGCGACCTGGGCGCGTGAAAACAAGCGCTTCGCTCGAGACGTTCTCAACACATCCTCATGCTAGACATCCGCCTGGGCGACCTGGACACGTGAAACCAAGCGTCCGGCTCGAGACATCCTCAACAAGTCCTCATGCTAAACGTCGGCCTGGGCAACCTGGACGCGTGAAACGAAACGACTCGCTCGAGACATCCTCAAGACCTGGGCACGTGAAAACAAGCATTTCACATGCGAAACAATCTGAATCCCACCAGCCCTTTGGGCGACAGGTGGTCTGAGGGAAATCTCCTTTTTCTTCCGCAACCCCTCGGGAACTCTCCTTTTTCTTCCACAACCCCTCTTCCCTTCGGGGAGGGGAACCCTCCCCCTCCCCTCACTGTTTTTTTGGGGGGGAGGGGGACCGATGTGGCAGAGGGTCTTTTTTCGGTCAGTGGGAGGGGCAATTTTTGACAGCCCTCACGAGGATCGTGGCCCCCCGAGGGGGGGGGGGGGGGCAGACATCGAGGACCCACCCTCTTTTGACCGACCGCCTTCAAGATGCCACTAAGAGGCCTTCAAGGGCACCCAAGAGGCCCCCCAGAGAGCTCCAAGAGCGCCCCAAGAGACCCAAAGAGGCCTCCAAGAAATACCCGAGAGGCACCCAAGAGGTCCCCTGAGCGCCCCCCCAAGAGGCCCAAGAAGCTCACCCGAGGCATGCTATACGCCGTCTCGTCCTCGTCCTTCTCCTTGTCCTCCTCGTCCTCGTCCTCGTCCCCCTCCTCATCCTTATCCTCGTCGACCTCCTCGTCCTTATCCTCCTCCTCCTCCTCGGCCTCCCTCGCTGTTTGACTATGCGTGTCTCTTCCTCTCTCCCCCCGTCATCTCCCATGGGCATTGTTTCTGGATGGGCTGGTGGGGATACTTTTTTTGTCGCAGCCGCAGGCGAGAGCGCCAACGGCGAGTCAGGTCCAAGCGGGCCGCGCGAGAGCCGAACATTTTTTTTTTTTCGCGACGCGACGCGTCAAGCATTCTAGTCCCCAGGAAACGAACGACATATATCATAAAACAAGCGTTTCGCTCGCGACATCTTCAACACATTATGAACAAGAAACGTTTCGCGGAGACGTCCGCAACGAACGAAATTGTTAACTACCATTTGTTTTATCGTCGGAATTAAGCATGATCGACCGACGAACCCGGAACGGAATGCAGACATGTAAAACATGGTAGCGTTTCAAAGACACCTGATTGGGCGACTGGCAACTGCAATGCTGAGTGTATCGATCTTGATGCACCGTGCCGAGGGCTGTGCTGTGCTGCGCTGTGCCGAATTGCGTTGTGCCATGTCGCGATTGTGCTCTGTAGCGGTGTGAATCGAGTCCTCCTTTTCATCCGAGTCCTGACCGAACTGATTTGGATCTTAAGCTCGAGCTGCCTGAGCACATAGTAGCTGCCCTAGAGCTAACTGGCAGGGGGACATGCCAGAACGACGCGCCACAAAACGTCCCAAGGGACGCGCCAGGCGACGTGCCATGGGACGTGCCACGGGGATGCACCACGGGACATGCCAAGGGGACGCGCTACGGAACGTGCCAATGGACGTGCCACGGGACGTGCCAGGGGGACGCGCCGCGCGACGTGCCAGGGGAACTCGCTACGGGACGCGCCATGGAACGTGCCAAGGAACATGCCAAATTGCACTGCTGAATGTATCGATCTTGATGCACCGTGCCGAGGGCTGTGCTGTGCTGCGCCGTGCTGAATCGCGATGTGCCATGCCGCGAATGTGCTCTGTAGCGGTGTGTATCGAGTCCTCCTTTGCATCCAAGTCCTGACCGAACCGATCTGGATCTTAAGCTCGAGCTGCCTGAGCACATGGTAGCTGCCCAAAAGCTAAGTGACAGGGGGGCATGACAGGAGGACGCGCCGCGGAACGTCCCCAGGGACGCGCCAGGCGACGTGCCATGGGACGTGCCATAGGGACGCACCGCGGGACGTGCCAAGGGGACGCGCTACGGAACGTGCCAGTGGACGTGCCACGGGACGTGCCAGGGGGACGCGCCGCGCGACGTGCCAGGGGGACTCGCCACGGGACGCGCCACGGAACGCGCCAGGGAACGTGCCAAATTGTAATGCAGAGTGTATCGATCTTGATGTACTGTGCCGAGGGCTGTGCTGTGCCTGGGCGACCTGGACACGTGAAAACAAATGTTTCGTTCAAGACTTTCTCAACACATCCTCATGCTGGACATCAGCCTGGGCAACCTGGACACGTGCAAACAAGCATCTCGATCGAGACTTCCTCAACACATCCTCATGCTAGACATCCGCCTGGGCGACCTGGACGCGTGAAACCAAGCGTCCCGCTCGAGACATCCTCAACACCTCCTCTTGCTAGACATCTGCCTGGGCAACCTGGATGCGTGAAACCAAGCGTCCCGCTAGAGAGATCCTTAAGACCTGGCCACGTGAAAACAAGCATTTCACTTGAGAGATCCTGTGAATTCTGGTCCCCAGGAGAGGACAATCTATAACACAAAACAAGCGTTTCGCTCGAGACATCCTCAACCATTTCTGCAAAACAAGCGTTTCGCTCGGGAGATCCGCAAATTTTCATTCGCCGGCACTACTCGACCTTTTTATTTATCGCAGATTAAATTCGCCGGCCCTACAGCCATCGATTCCAAGGGTAAACCTCTAAAAGAAAATCCTGGGCCAGAGCCCTTTCCAGGAAAAAATAGCGTTTCGCTCGGGACATCCTCAAAATGTAATCCACCGGCCCTCTCGACCTCGTGATTCATGAAGGAAAGAATCCGCCGGCCCTCTTCGAACTTGGCGCCGGGGACATGTTATCACAACAAAAGAGAACCCTTGGCCGGAACCCTTGCCGGGAAAAAAACGGATCGCCAGGGATCTGGGGCTACATGGGACACTAATTAGCAGCGACCCGCGTCCTCCTCCTGAGCATTTTCTTAGGGTGGATGGCTCAGGGTGCAATCTATATGGGATTTTGCGCATCGAGAATCAATCCGCCTTATGATTCACCTTTTGCAGATTCAAGACCCGAGAATCCATCGAAACGGCATTTCAGATTCCACCCTGTGCCCTCCACCCAAAGAAAATGCTCGGTCCTCCTCCTCATCCTCCTCCTCCTCCTCCTCGCCCCTCCTCCTCCTCGCCCCTCCTCCCCTGCCCCTCGCGAGCGCCGCCGCCCGCACCGCGGCTCCCGGCGTCTTGGAGGCTCGCGCGACCGCCTCGGGGCTCGGGGCAGCGGGGGGGGGGGGGGTGCGCGAGCACGCGCAGGGCGGTCGCATCGGCTCCGCCGGCGGGCCCGTGCATACCCGCAGCGCCGTCTGGAGCCCCAGGAGTTGGGCAAGTCTCCTCCTCCTCCTCCTCCCTCCTCCTCCTCCTCCTCCTCCCCCTCCCCCTCCTCCTCCTCCTCCTCCTCCTCCTCTCCTCCTCCTGCTCCCCCTCCTCCTCCTCCTCCTCCTCCTCCTCCTCCTCCTCCTCCTCCTCCTCCTCCTCCTCCTCCTCCTCTTGCCAGCGCTCGGACGTCCATGCCCCGTGCACTTTTCGGTGGCGTGCGTGTTTTTTTTTGTGGCTCGATGATCAAGGGTGCTCCTCGATGGTCCTCGTCGAGAGAAACTGCACACGTCCAAGCGATCCAAGTTCCCATAGGACTGCCACGGGATCCCACCAGCCCTCTGGGCGTAGGTGGTCTAGAGCGTTTCCTCTTCCAACCCCCTTCTTCCCCTTCGGGGAGGGGGTTATCACAGCGCCTTATTAAAATGCACCCCCTCCCCCAGGCGACCAGCACCCCCCCGTGCCAGCTCTCCTCGGCCACCGTGTGACGAGTGTGCGAGGGCGGCTGATGGTCAGCTGCTCGCGGAGCTGCGCCCCCGCTGGCAAGCGAGAGCGGCCGTAATCTCGACGTCGGCGATTCGTGGCCGCCCTCCAGCAGATCGAACGTCGCGACCTCTGGATCGGCCTCGAAGTTCACTCTAGCTTCTGGAGGCTGTCGCCTTCTGGGCGGCGACCGCCTCCTGGTGTTTGCTGCGTCCGTTGCCCTGCTCCTGGCCCGCCGGAATAGAGGGCAGGCCCGGCCGACGTTTTTGTTGTTGTTGTTGTTTTTAATTGTGTTTTTTTATGGTGTTTTTGATTGCTTGTTGTTTTTATTATGTTGTTTTTTGTTTTTCGTTGCGTTGTCTCCCTTGCGGTGCTTGGCGCGGGGGGGCTGCGCGCTGCCGCCGCTGGACGAGCTGGCCCCGCCGCGCGTCGGGGAGTCCTCTACCTGGCTGTGCGCGAACCTCCTGTTGTTCTCGGCGAGGGCCGTCGCGATGTCCTCGTCCTCTAGGGTCTCCGCGTCCGTCTCCTCGTCAGCACTAAGCACGGGCGCATTGTCGACATGATGTGCTGCCTGCGGCTGGAAGGGAACCGTGGGGGAGAGGACGTGCTCCTGGACACTGGCTTCACCGCCATGGGGGATCGATTGCAGCTGCCTCCCCAGGCCCCGCCTCGTGTGAGCTCCGAGCAATGGGCGCCGCGACATCGGCTGTCGCTGGGACACTGGCCGCGTCTCTTTGGCCGCCCCGTTCGCGCGGGGACCTGGCGGAAGCAGCCCCCTGCATTTCGGTCTCGGCGACGACGAGGCACCCAGGGAGGTCTCGCCGAACTACGCGGGCTTGCCCGCGGGGTGCCTGCCGTTTGCGCTGCGCGCGCGTGCTCTGCCGCCGCCTCCGACACCATCCGACTGCCTCTCGAGGTCTCCAACTCTTGAGCCCCTGTGGTTGTGGTCGTGTGGTGGGGAGCTCGAAGCTGAGCGGCTGCGCCCGGGCCAGGCAACTACTCCGTCCTGCGCTCGTCCAAGGCTCTGGCCTCGGCGTCCACGTTCGCCTTGGCCACGGCCACCTTCTGCCTCCCTGCCTCCGCTGGTGCCCTCCGCGTCTCCTCCATCTCCGCTGGGGCATTCTGCACGGCTCGCTCTCCTCTGCCAGCTCGGCGTGGGCCTTCCTGACAGCGGCTGCGCTGCCGCCCGCTCGCGCCGAGACGGCCTCCTTCCGCGCGGCGACCGCCTGCGGGGCCGCTGCATGGGCACGCAGCTCCGCCTGCTCCTCCGCCCTGGCGGCCGCTTCCCGACGCAGCTGTGCGCCACGGGCCTGGAGGCTCGGCGGCGCTCTCCCCGAGCCGCGCCTCCGCATCACCCGCGGTGGCGCCGCGCTGGACCTGCTGTTGCTGGGTGGGCTGCCGCTGGACTGTTATGTGCTCGAACTTGTGACGCTCTGCACCTGCTGGCCTCCCCCCCTCCTATTCCTATTCCTCCTCCTCCTCCTCCTCCTCCTCCTCCTCCTCCTCTTCTTCTTCTTCTTCTTCTTCTTCTTCTTTTTCTTCTTCTTCTTCCCCCCATCCTGCTCCTCTTCCTCCTCCTCCCCCTCCTTTTAGTCGTCGTCGTCGTCGGCGTCGTCCTCGTCCTCCTCGCCCTCCTCCTCCTCCTCCTCCTCCCTTCTCCTCCCCCTCCCCCTCCCCCTCCTCCTCCCCCTCCCCCTCCCCCTCGCCCTCCCCCTCCTCCCGCGGCGAGGACTCCCTGGCGGTAGGGGCCCCTCCTCCCCCGAGCGGGCCATCGGCCAGCGCGCCACGCGCGCCCCCGCCCCCTCGGCGAGGCCCTCCGCGCCCGGGGCGGGGGCCTCCCTGCGCCGGCCTCGTCGCGCCGCGGCTGGCGGCGCGCCCCGGCGGCGGCCTCCCCCCGAGTGACAGTCCTGGTCGGCTGGCCTCGGCGGAGGCTGCGGGATGCCGCCGGCCACGCCCGTCGGGCGCCTTCGGTGCTCGCGGGTCGCGCTCCGCGCATTCGCGGCTCGATGGGCGCGCGCGTGCTCGCTCGGGCCGGCCGTGCTCCTCTGGAGGCCTGCCCCGCGTGGCTGCTGCTGGAGCGCCTGGCACGCGGCTCCTCCACCTCCTGGTCCTCGTCGCTGTCGTCGGCCATCGTCGCGCGGTCCTCCTGCTGCGCCTCGAGCTCCTTCGTCCGGGCTTCTCAATGTCGGCGATGCGCTCCTCGAGGGCGAGGTTGCGCTCTTTCGTTTCGACATTGGCTTCGTTGTTCGTGGCAACCTCTGCCTCGTAGCCGAGCCTTCGCCTCCGAAGCATAAGCAGGTGTGTGCTCCTAGGTATAATATTGAACGAGCGGCATTAAAACACCCTGCGTATTTTTCCTGCGGGTTGGTAGGGAGGCTGGCATCCCTGTTGGCCATCAACGCCTTGACCTCAACTTTGCGACGTTTGACCTCCGCCTTGTAATATCTCCATTCCGAACTGTCGGTTGGCGGCTTCACCCATTGGCATGCCTGTCGAGCCACGCCGATGTTTGTGATCATAACTTCATCAGCTACCTTCTGGGATGCCTTGCCAATCTTGCCGCTTTAGGGTTTCTTGGGTCGCGGCTGTGAGTGGGCCCTTGACCTCCATTCGTAGCCGCAGCTGCGTTGCCACTGTTAATGCTTCAGCTTGGTTTCGCATCTGGGGCATGTCCAAGTCTGCGTCGTCTTCGGAGGCGCTTGACGGCACCCCTGATCCTCGGCACAGCGCGGTCCGCTGCACGGCGACGCCGGGGTGTGCGATGCCAGGCGGGCTCCTCCACCCGGCGGTGGCCGCGCTTCGCCGCCTGGCGTGCGCACCTGCTGCAGCCAGCGCCTGGCGATCGCACGGCGGACGCGCGGGGTCGCCTGGGCGGGGCGGCGCGCGCGGGCGGTGGGGGGACGCCGCGCCCCGTTTGATTGGTGCAACGCCTGTACCTCCTCCTCCTCCTCCTCCTCCTCCTCCTCCTCCTCCTCCTCCTCCTCCTCCTCCCTTTGGAGGAACGGAAGGAAGAAGGGTACGGGTATGCATGAGGATGCGCAAGGGGAACAAAAAGGGGTGCCTGCATCGAAGGAACGGCCCGAACCGGCGGCGCCACACGCCGAGCAAGAGTGCCTGACCGCAGCGCATCATGGCCCAAGGCATGTGCACGGACGAGTGGGGGCCAAGGAGGGTACAGGCGGCCCGGATTAGTAGGTCGACCCTGCCAGATCAAGGGTACCCTCGTGTCCTGTGTCTTGCGACCCATGCCTCCTGCATTTCTGTGGCGACGTGGCCCTCGGAAGGGCCTTGTGCCCTCTCGCGTGTCCTCTCCAATCAAGTCCGACTGTTTTGAAAGAAGCAGATTTGGACGCCCGAGATGGGTACGGAAAGACTGGGCACAATGCCCAACAACAAATGTTGCCCCGAACCAACAGCGGCCGCTGTCGGGCAGGCAGCCTTGTCTCAAATGAACACAGGCCGCGGCGGCGTGGACAGCGAATCCGGTTCAAAATGAACAGGAACTGCAGTTGGGCATTGTACCCATTTTTTCGTGCCCATGTTGGGCGTCCGTAGGAGAAGGAAGAATGACATAAACATAAAAACTCGGAGGTCTGCGCGGATTTCTCGGATCCGCGCTGGACCCCCCTGGCGGCGCCTCCGGCGCCGCCCCTGGCGCGCTCCGCGCGCCAGGGAGAGGGGTCCAGCGCGGATCCGAGAAATCCGCGAGGACCTCCGATGTTTTATGTTTGTACTATTTTTCGTCCCCCTTATCCAGAGCAGAAGCGGGCCAAGGTACCCCCACCCTCGTGTTACGAGCCGAACGAGCGCCGAACCGGGAACACAGGCCGCGGCGGCGTTGACAGCGAACCCTGTTCAAAATGCACAGGAACTGCTGTTGGGCACTGTGCCCACCCTTTCCGTGCCCACGTCGGGCGTCCAGAGGCAGAAGCGGGCCAGGATGCCCCCCCCTCGTGGTACGAGCCGACCGAGCGCCGAACCGGGAACGCAAAGGGGGACTCCGCGGCCACGGCGGGCCTCGGCCGCGCAGGTGCGCGCCCCCCGACCTGGCTCGACGGCGCGGCGCCCGACGGCCTGGAGCACCTCCCGGGCCCGTCGCGGTCCTCGTGCCGGCGCTCTGCCCGTGCGCAGCGAGGCCAACAGAGAGGGGGGACACCGAGGCCCCCCCCCCCTCCGGCGCCTTGCCATCGCTCGGGCGCCCATTCCCCGTGCCTCTGTCGGTTTCGTGCGTGCCCTCGTCGGCTCGAGGATCCAGGACGCCCCTCGAGGGCCCCCGCCGAGAGAGAGACATTTTTTTTTTTTTTTTTTGAGCTGCGGGGGCGAGGGCGAACCTCTTCCGCCAAAAGCCAGGCGGGCGACGCGCAGCTTTCAATGGAGGGACCGCCGAGGGACACGTGCGCACGTCCGAGC